ATGTCTGTGAGGTCCTCTCTAAGGCTTGTTTTTGCATTAAGCACCTCAAGACAGTCATGGAGCAGCACCTCAGGGTCATCATCCAGTAACAAGGTGGCTGGGTTTAAGGCTGTAGTAGATAAGAACTTAATATAGGCTGGGTCTAAGAGTAAAGCTTGATATTGTACAGTCTGTGTATTTGAGAGTTATCTGTCAGGAGGGCTTTTAAGAAGGCTCTCAACCACATGAGGAGCCATGATTTGGAGCTCCTGGCCAAATGTGAGCTTAGTGGCTTCCTTTGTCAAAATGGCAGTGGCAGCTATGGCTCACAGGCATTTTGGCCAACCTGCAGCAATGGGGTCTAGTCTCTTAGGTATGCTATAGGTCTTTTCCAGGGCCCCAAGTATTGGGTTAGGACCCCTTTAGCAATGCCTTTGATTTCATGTACATGGAGCTGGAATGGTTTCATCAGATCAGGCAAATCCCAGGCAGGAGCTGAAGCAAGCGCTTTTTTAGAACCTCAAAAGCTTCTCTTTCAGATTCACTCCAATAGAGTTTCCCTTTTTGGTCCCCACCAGTGCTGGCATACAGAGGCTGGTCAATTTCAGCAAATCCTATGATCCAGAGCCTGCAATATCCAAGGAGCCCCCAAATTCTCTTACCTATTGTTTGGTGGTAGGGACAAGGATTTTTAATATAGCTCTAATACATTTATTAGACAGAGTTCATTGTTCTTCCTATAGCCTATGGCCCATTATGTTACCTGAGATAGGCAAAGCTGAGCCTTTTTGGCAGACACTGTAGCCCATTTCATCCAGTTCTCCAAGTAAGTCCTCAGTTGCCTCTTTATACAAGTCATAGGTGTTAGAGGCCAATAATATGTTATCAACATATTGTAACACAGTTACTTGGAGCTGTTCTCCCAAGAAATTCAGGAAGTCTTTGTTTAGTGCTTCATCAAACAGGGTTGGTAAATTTTTATAGCCCTGAGGTAATCTGGTCCAGGTTAATTGGCCATTTTCTCCCATCTGAGTGTCTGCCCATACAAAAGCAAAGATGGACTGACTTACTGGAGCCAATGGGATCATGAAGAAGCCATCTTTTAAGTTCAGGACTGTGTAGAAGACTCGTTCCAGGGGCAGCAGACTTAGAAGTGTATACAGGTTGGGCACTGTGGGTGGATAGTTTCCACTCCACAGTTCACTTTTCATAAATCCTGGACTGGTCTGTAGTCTGTGGTTCCAGGCTTCTGGACTGACAACAGGGGTGTATTCTAACTAGATTTACAGTGTACCAGGATGCCCTCCTTTTATTCAACTCCCTAGGGTCTTTTTTGTTATTAAAAACTCATTGAGCTATCTTTACCAACTCTGTCAGTGTTTTACCTTCAAATCTTTCAATCTGCAATTTTTTTCTAATGTCTGGGGCTAACTGAGAAACAAAAACAAAAGTCATAGCGTGGCAGTTCTCAGGAGCTTCAGGATCTACTGGTGTATATATTCTATAGGCCTCTTGGAGGTGCTCTAAAAATGCCTCCAGAGATTCATCTGGACCCTGACTGACCTCCATAACTTTAGACAAATTAGTAGGCTTTCTAGCCACCACCCTGATTGTTCCCTAAAAGAAGCTGGTGATGCTGATTGTCTCCTTACTTTATGGGAATTAGAATCCCAGTTAGGACGAGTCAAAGGGAAGGATTTCTCCAGTCATACAGGATCTGAGGCTGGTTGGCCATCTAGGCCCAAAATTAATTTTCATCCAAGCCTTCAGATTTGCTCTCACTTTTCAGATGTGAAGAGGGTCTGTAAAAGCTGCCGGCAATCATCCCAAGTGGGCTGATGGGTGAAGAAAACAGATTCCAGAAGAGATATAAGCCCTTGAGGACTCTGAGAGAAAGAGGATTCCTGGTTTTTCCAGTTATATAAACAATTAGTCAAGAAGGGGACATAAACCATGAAAGGGTGGTGATCTCCACCCAGTTGTTTACAAAGAGGAAGTACTGGGGCTGGTGCTGAGGCTGAAAAAAGAT